ACTACGATCATTTAAGGTAATAATTGAAGCTATGCGCCGCGATAGGCTAAGAACATAGTAACATAATGTCGATGGTGGCTCAGTTCGAAACTGAGATGAGTTGATATTCATGTTATAAATTTATTTCTAATGCGCTCAGACAGTTCAAGTAGTTTTTCAATGTATAAAATCAAATGTTGATTTCTTCGACAAAGTGCCTACGAATTAAATCGAACTGAGTTTACATACAAGAAGCTTTCTCGTTAAACTTTTCATCTTAAACTAAATAATAATACTTTATCAAACACGTTGATTTGTTCAATAATCATATAGGAAATTAGAAGTCTGTTTATGTGAACAAAACCTTGTAGAGTAAAAGAATTTTCGCAGCAAAAAATGAATATAAACTATAGCATGTGTATTTTCTATTTTTTTTTCCATTCGTAATATTTGCAGAAATGGGTCAACAATTATTCAAAGTTCATCTAAACATAGATGACAATATTCAAGTCGATTCGGATACAATTTTATCAATGGCTAATAAATATGATATTAGTTTTTTTTTTCCATTAAAATCTTCTGATACAAAATTGGATTCAACTGAATTGAATAATGATAAACAAATTTCGAATACTCAAACTGAATTTGTTTTACAAATTCGAAATGATTTAGCTTTATTAACAAAATTAGTTGAATGGGAAAGAATTAATACTGAAATAAATGATATACTTATGAATAATGTTTTTACCTTTTTGGTTGATCAGAATAAAAAAGTAATGGAAGAAATTAATAATCGTTTAACATACAAACAACATTTGCAAACATTGTTTATGAAAAAACTTAAAGATGATACTTATGACAATGTATCTATTCTTTCACATTCATTAACAGATTGTTCATCGGAAAATGCAACTACATCATCTACTCAAACTGAAGATCATCATCAACAACAAAACACTAAACATCAATTTAAACAATTATCTTATTTTGCTATTCAATCATTAACATCGTTCTTATTTATACTAATTAAATCAGCTGAAAAAAATGATCCGACAATTATACATGAAATATTAACATTAGCAAGTCAATTATGTGAACAACTTCCCATGAAATGTTTATCTTCAACAAACAGTTTCTTATTCAAATCATTAAAACCATTGATAGATTATATCCATGAATTATCTTCGACAGCAGATCCTATTATTTCAAAACAAGCATTGAAAATTCTACTGCATTTTTCCATTGTAAAAGGATCGTTCAAAGATATATTTTCTTTATTAAGTAAACTAATATTTAACACAACTGATATTTATAATGTTCAAGGCTTAGTCATACAATTAAATAACAATCTTACAGAAACTCTTAATCAATGGGAAAAAGAAAAACAGACTTCAATTAGTGAAGAAAAATCTGACTCTAAGATCGACAATGGTGATAATACAATATCGAAAGAAATAACAAGTAAAAAAAGAATCATTTGTATATTTTCTTCATTTGTCTCTCTATCCTAGCGGGGAAGTACTAAATGCCAGGTACATGAATACCAGAGATGTCTCACCACATCTCATATTGTAACGATTATTCGACACTAATATCTCATGTAAATTCATGCAGTTTTCCGATATTCTTGAAAATAAAAAGTTGCCACCAGGACAATTCTCTACTACACTGAACATCTTTATTGTGTACGATGACGATCGCAAATAAAATATATATCAGAAGTTTCAATGGTCTAAGCGAAATCATTAGTTTCTCTAATTCTAATTCTATTCCTACTAAACCTTCTGTCAATCATCAATTTTTTGTAATACTTTTTTTCTTCAATTACCCATGCTGATCCATCATCACATACAGAACAGTATACATCCGAACGGATCAAGTTTCTTTTGAATCAATAATTATTGACAAATATTATTGTTTAGTATGAAAGGCACACACATTTTTATTCTAGAAAGTTTTCGGTTTTTAACGAAAAAAAAAAATCATAAAACATTGAAGATTTTTCAAATTGTAAAATATTTTAACAAACATTCGTTTATACATCAACTACTGATACTTGAAACATGTTCGTTCATTCACGTGTTAAAAGTTTACCGAATACAATAAGATGAGTGACCCATCGGTAGGCCATTTTTTAAGAAAATAAACACCATAGGCTAGGTCAACTCAAAAGTCGATAGCCATTGGGCCGACTTTCCTCGATTCACAACCCAGTCCGTTGAGACTTCTGATATCTATATACAGGTATCCTACACTGTAAAAAAAAAAAGGTACTTTACCGAACCCTCCACTAAGGTTTCGTAGGTGTCAAAAAGCTTCCAAATGCTTAAAAAAATGATTGTTAGAATCTACGAAACCTTAAAAGGATCGAGGCGCGGGTATACCCTCCGAACCATC